GCCGCGTCGAAGCGACCCCACAGACCGCTCACGACCCCGGGGCGAGGGTTGGGGCCCGGCCGCGGAATCGCCCGAGTGGTACAGCCCCGACTTCCGTTGGCGTCGATAAACCTTAACTAGCGGCATAGGTCGCCTCTTCCGGTGAAGAGAGAATATAGTGCGATGCCTACAAATATGCTCTCTTCCTACAAAAATGAGTCCGGGGGAAGGGGGAAAGATAGAGCGGAGAAGTGTAAAGTACAGAATAAAGTTCCTCTACATAGTGTTGATATCGTGTGGGTTCGAGTAAATGTGATCAAGAAGAATAAGCTCGATTTTTTTCATTCAGTGGGTACAAGCACATCGCTGCGCTTGGGTGATGCTCTAACACACAATTTTTATTGAGAAAATCAGAAAAAAAAAAAGGGGGAACGAAAAGGTAGAAAAAAGTAAATGGCAAACCTTGTTTATCTTGACTTAAAGCAGGAAAAGGGGTTCTCATTTTAAAAAGCTTCTACCATACTATCCCTGACAAACCATCATGTACCAGTGTATACGAGATAAAAAAGAAGCGAACAAATTTATCGTGCTTTAATTACAGCATCCATAAGAAGTGGACGACTGGAAGGGGAAGGAAACTAAAAAATAAAAGAAAAGAAGATCCTCTCCAGAGCATGCAAGTCGGCAAAAACCTGACATCAAAATTTAAAATTAAATTTAAAAAAAACTAGCAGGATAAAAAAAGATAAAAAAGGTAAACTAAATTAGATATGTCACACCCACACAACATCATAGGTATATGTGGAGCGGAAATTCCTCAAGCAATGAAAGCGGCCCGTCCGTGCAGGCCTGCAGCTCTCCCTTCAGCCGTGTTCGCCACATCCATTGAACTTCTTCTAGCATATGACTTAGCGTGGTCCTCGCGCAGGGATGAATGGATCGATCGCCTGCCAGGTGTCCAGAGATCCGCCGCTCGAGTTGCCGCAGGACGATCCCGTCAGAAGCCGACAACGGCATCAATGACGCGTTCGAAAGATGCGGCGGGGACATCCTCGAGGGCCTCAACCCCACCCACTGCAAAGGCAACAGCCCGGTCGTGTAATCTGCCTCAGAGGAAGAGGCGATTCTATGGCGGCTTCCCGCGGAGTTTCTGGTCAAGCTTCGGCATGTTGGACTGCCCTCTAGCATCGTAAGCAAAATCCTCAGGCCATGTGGGTCGCCGTCGACTAAGGCAAGAAGTGGAAGCTGTGGGTGTTCGGCATTCAAGCGACGAACGAAGAGACGGGAGGCGACGCAGGGGTAGCCTTTAGTGCATAGCATCCGGTAGGAACGCCCTCGTCGCACACAACCTCCTTGGCCGCCACCATCGCTGGGGCTCGGTAGCGGCTCTTGAATCTCACCCAAAAGAGTGCGTAGGGTGCTTTCCTTCTCCACGAAAACCAGGGCCACTTCTCGGCTACCGTCTCCCACGGAATAACCTCGACCGTAGAGAGCCATCTCAGCCGTAAGATGTATGCCATGGCATCCTACCTGAACCGGCGCGCTGTCCGCAGCGCCGCCTTGTGGATAACACAGCATCATGCTCAGCGGACCTACCAAAATGCTCTTCGGGGTCGCCACGACTCCAAGATCCTCGCGTGAGTACGGCTGTTTGTGGCCATCTGTCGCTATGATTCGCTCCAATGCCGTCTGGGGGGTTGTGAAGATGAACTGATAAGCCGCCCCCTGGTGCGGCTGGGGAAGTCCATCGCTCTTCTCCATACACGACGCGGCAATCCGCATCCACACCCCGAGCCGCTCCAAGCACCGATGTACTGAACCCTGACCCTGAGGTGCAAAGAGAGGTGGATTGCAGTAGTAGAGATCGCGCTCGGTGCAGGTCACCTCACGCGCTCCCACTCCATTTTTCAGTAAAAGTATGCTGTTAATAAGGCATAATATACGCGCAAATATTCGCAATTGATTCTCAGTGTATGGGAACCCAGATGAATTTTTCTTTTCGGGTTTCGTCAAGCGCGCTCTTTGAGCTGAAGATGCGTCACGTTGATTAGGGCATGATTCTCTAAAACTATAGAGAAAAAGAAGGACAAGCGATTCGGTCACTAATAAATTATTTGTATCCATTTTAGTGATCCTTTATATATGTGGATTTCCAAAGACACAATGAAAACCCTTCCTAATAAAGACAAGTTGGATAATTTCGTTACTTCTGATGTCTATTATAAATTAAAAAAGCAGACCCGGAGTGAATTAAATTGTATCGTTATTAACAGTATGTATGAACAAATCAAAGTCATGAAAAAATATATATGTCTAATGTTCTAATTATGTCTGCAGCAACTTCTTTCATCTTCTTTCTAGAAATCTATTTCAAGATAGTCATCACAAATTATAAAAAATAAATCCGTGAACTACCCACATCGTCGTCAGGTTCAGAAAGAAATATGTATATATATACATTGCATAAACTTCGGTATTTGGTATACCAAGACCTTGGCATGTGGGATATAGTGAGTAATGGTAATAATTAATGTAAAAAAATATTTACAAAAAAAATAGAAAAAGACACACACAAACAAGATAAAACGCAAAAGGACATAATTATAGCTAATGAAAGTTCAATAACCAGACAAAGATAAATCAAATAGTGAAATCGAAAAGTAGGGAGGCATAGTGACTAAATTGTCTTGAAACAACAAATTCATAAATTTCTGATACTATGCGCGTAATTTAGAGCCATTTGAAGATGTTTCCGCATTTTTATATACCTCTTTCTTTCTTCAGTTTCACAAGCTGTATACACAGCGGGAATAAAGCCTTTAGCTATCTTCACCTCGGAATTTCCGTCAGCATTAGCATCGTCATGGTCTTTTATCATGCAATGAAAGACAGAAATAACATTATTCGCTACTAAAGCTCCTTCATCCTCTCTGAAATTTTGTGGCTTGTCCACATCATGACTACAAATTTGATATAGCTCCAAAGTGTTCACTTCATCAGATTCAAAACTTTCTGCTTCTCTCTGGTGGATAATATGCGCGCAGACTTTGGCAGAAATTTCTTCCATATAGTAAATAAGCCTCGACGTGTCGCGCATCTCCAGTTCCAAGGGCAAAGTCCTCCCCTCCTCTGTGCTTCTACTGATGTAGTTAGCAATTGCGGTCACAAGCAGCTCTGGATCAGCTAGCCAAAGCTCCACAAGTGCAGGATGCACGGTGCTTTTTAAGATAGCATCACCAAGTGGGTCCTCTTCGAGATAAGGTTGTACAACACAAAGCCGCTCTAATAGCCCATGCCATGGGTCTGTGCTGGCGTGTACAACGTTAAGAATACGATCAGGTGCGCTTTTAAGTCCGAGCGCACGCCATTGAGAAAATACCTTGCCACGAATACTCTCCGGTGCCGTATCAGCACGGCTCTCTTCACCTCCTATGATTTTAAGAGAAAATTGATCCCACGAAAGGTCTTCTTCGAACCATGAAACAACGTACCAGTGCGTTAAAACATGTTCCGACTCTATACTCTGCTTTAAGGATGGGATGAATGCATTCAAAACGTATAGACCATGTTCAGCCAGTTCCGTAATCTCCAGAGCCCCATCCCGCAAAACAACTCGGCTGCGCTGTGGATCCATCCAGGAGTTCAGCAGCTGCGGTGCGGTCAAGCCTCCCAGCCTTTTCAGCGCTGTGTAGGCGTTGAGTACGATACCGTGCATTATCATCTCGTCCCATGAAACACGAAACACTTGTTGTATCGCGGTCTGCTCATCCTGCGCAAAGACGAGGTCAAAGGGGTTGCACACGGCGTAGGCCACTACACCTGGCACTAGGCATCGCAGCAGGCCTATTTCCCTCGCTGTCGCCCCTGTTACATCACCCTCTTCATCGATGTGCACCTGCCAGGCCTTCAAAGTTTCCTCCACAATCTGCGCCACACACCTGCCAAGGGAATGAGGCTTAATCACGAGCAACGCGGTGTTACGGACAGGGGTCTGGTCGTCATCCCGCGCCACCTCACGGAGCAGCCCCAGTGCGTCTTCGGTGCTCTTCCCAACAAGACCACCGAAACGCGACCCCTGTGTCGGAAAGACAGCGTCGGTGGATGCTAAGCGCAGAAAGTAAGGTGATAAACGATGTTGGGTGATGCACTCATACCCTAGGGGATCCACTTTCAGAGAGGGTGGATTCACCATGAGAAGAAGGCGGTGCTTCAAAGCTGCAAGTGCACTAGAAGACGCATGTACAGCACCCATGAATGGGTGTGGGGGCCTCGTCAATCCCAAACTGCACCAGCTCTCGCGAAGCATAGCATGTAGACTTCCCGTTTCCGCTTCTTTCACGTATGGATTGCCGATGATCTTCGAAAGAAGCGTTCTATATGAAACTCTGGACTCGTCAAATGACACAAGAAAATAAGTCCACGGAAAGAGAACCGAAACGTCCATGCAATAAGGGACGAATCCGTTCACAATGTAACGGCATTCTGAGGGTACCTTACCAATGTAAAGATCGGGAGCAACATGAACAACCGGAGAGCAGCAGTCCCACAGTGTATGTAAATTTTTGGAAGTTATTCCATGCGCATCTGAGAACTGCATAGCATTAAGTACATGATCCCGGTTAAAAACGCTCATTAAGCCGTTGGCCTTACTATTTCCGTCGACTATGCCGTTATCGTTAAGATTTGTGGTAGAGAGAATTTCATTCATAAACTTCTTTTCTTCGTCAAAGAATGAAGCACAAAGCTCAAAGGCGTCAACCCTCATAGCGTAGCGAAAAAGACGTTTGTGCAAAATGGAAAAGACCTGACGCCGATCGGCTTGTTCAGGCGAGAGTGATCCAGCCCCAAGAACCTGGATGCCGTACTCGTGTAGTTGTTGTTTCAGAAGAGAACACACAATAGAATAATCCTTTGAATTGGGTAAAAGGATTGGGTTAAATGTCAAAACAGCGTGTGCAATGCGACTTTGGCATGTAGAAGGCACTGAGAAAGCTTGTGAGGGCAACACTCCATGGCTTTCTACAGATCCTTGGCTTCTCATAGAAACCACCTGGAACGTGAGACGGTTCTGGTATGTGAGGAGAGCATGCAGAAGGTCTGCGGGTTCCCTATAGTCTACACTGTAAGGCAATGCATCAAATAAATGTACATTGCTGGTACCTGAGGCGTTATTCAAGCGGACAACAGGGTTAGTAATAATCATCTTTAGAAAGGAAGGCTGTACTCCATGCCATACAAGCCAACGACCCAGTGCATCCTCCTCAGGTGATATATTTAACCACAAGCATCGCTCCGTCATCGCCTCTATTGGGGTGGAAGAGACATACAGTTCTGGATTAGTGTCATCCGGTGGCTTCGACAGTCCGTAGCCCTCCCAGTTCAATGTCAAATAGGCCTTTAGAGAATTTGAAGAACTCCGCACATTTCTATCGAATCCGATCACAGTGCTCAGAAAGTCATCCCAATTCATGCGATCCACCCCCCAGCAGATACTGTACCACGCTGCGTGGCTCCCAGAACAAAGAACCCTTGAACGTTCAAACAAGTAATGAGCGTTCACAACATATAGGCCTTCTTTTTCCATGTAACAAACATAAAGCTTTGGAGATAAGCATACTTTGAGATTTGATCTATCCCAGCACTGCAAGATGTGATCCTCACCGTAGAGTGCCGCTGCCTTCTTTGCGTTAAGAACAAGAGACAACTCGACGGCTGTACTCCACTCGATGCCAAAGACCCTCTTAAAGTGATCCGCCTCAGCCGTAGTGATGATCATATCGATCGCCGAACGCTGGCAAGCGTTTTGGTAAAAGGCTGAGTAGGGACGTTCCAAAAGCTGCTTTTGTGTGGCATCACATAAATATATTTTCCTGTGATCCAACACACGCACGCCGTGGGCTGCGAGCAAGCTCGGGATGTCATCCACGAAGTTGCTATTTGCGATAGAGGGTGGCAGCCACAAAAAGGCGAAATGGTGAGTTGCTATGTGAGACAAATCCCGAGCTACAGAGCGCGTCAATTGAACGCACACACTAGTGTCATGGCCTGTGCTTATATGCTCGAGCATCTCTTGCTCAATCACCGTAGAACTGGCCTGTAAAAAGCCCAAATGTGAAACAATGTAGGGCGAAACGCCCTTCATCAAAAGCCACTGCGCCATAGGATCCTGAAGGAGACGTAGCTCTTTGTCCTCACTATGTTCATCTGATGTGCTGTCAAGCGATGACCATTGCAAAGCGTCCGAAAGTGCCTGTAGTGGCCCTGTAGACAAATACCATAATGCCTCTGGGCCCAGCATTGCCAAGTCATTCTTTTCATCTTCGGGTAAAGCCTGACAAAGAATCTCACAGAGGTTTGGGTTCTCCGTCGGACTTTTCACGAAACCCACCCCTGTCTCTCCCATCGCAGCATTAGGACTGCACTTCCTTGAGTAACCCATCACAAAGTCGTAGAACGACTCCCACGAACAGTTGCACTCCTCCCACACTACCCTAAAGTAGTGAGCACGACATCCAGACGATGCAGTGTACTTTTCATGCAAGTAAGGGTAAACACCGTTGATAACAAAGCACTGATGCGTCGGCAAGAATGAAACTTGACAGTGCGACGAAAGTCGCTGAAGACCCGCATGAGTGCAGGCATGAAGAAGATCAAGGGGGGAGAAGCCTAGCTTTGTGCACGCATTTTCCGCACCAAGAAGCTCGTCCTTGCAAACATCAATATCTTTATGGAACACCTCGTAGAACCGCCTCTTCGCGGACACCGTTAGACGATGAAGAAGCTCGACACCTTGAAGGGAAGCGAGATGCGCCATCCTCTGAAGTGTTGGCATGCCTAATACCCGCTGCGCTGCACCTTTGCCATACACATCACCCTCCTCCTCAACCGTGATATGATACCGCGACAAGATTTCCCTAACAAGCTCTCCTAACGACCCTGATGCGGACGATGGGTGCAAGACCAACACAGCGCGGTTCACCTTCTCCGCATCGTAGTGTTTAAGTTGCTGTCGTTCTTCTTGTAGGGCGGCAAGGAGAAACTCATGGGTATTTTTATTTTCTAACAGATCAAAAATATGAACACGCCGTGGACTTCCATCGATATGTACACGTGGGTTAAGTGCCCATGACAGCCACGCTGCGGGCGACAAACCTAATCTTTTTAGCATAAACGCAGAGCACCCGCATTGCCCCAAGGGGGTCCCAAGCCACAGATGTTGTTCAATCATGGCCTCCAGTGGGCTGGCCGAAGCGTGCACGCCATTTTCGGTCGAGCTGGGCCGCCGCGCAAGGCCAAGGTCCTTCCAATCCTGATATATCATTCCACGAAGACTATTGGGCGAGGCTTTCGAGGGGTCTGTGCAGCCAATAACATCTTTTCGAAAACTACTCCAGCTCAGAACGGACTCTGGCCAGGAGATAATATAGCACTTAGTCATGGATCCAGGGGAAAGAAAGAGCTCGCGGAGATAAGGATAAAAGCCATTTACAACAAAGTAACAGGTTCCTTCATTTGGGGGCCCGATGAAAAGCTGAGAGACATGGGCACCGCTGGTCAACTTAATCTTGCAGGGCTGCGCATTCCATAACTCAAAAAGTTCACAAGGCGTAATCCAAGTGAAAAATCTAAGCAAATTAGTGGCAAACCACACCAAACCATCCGCTACTGCGTTTTCCCAGGAGATATCGTAATTTCGCTCGAACATCTCCAGGGCCTCAGGGTCAAGTGGAATGTCGTGTGGAGTACAATCGTTAGTATAATAAGCTATTGTGCGGTAGTGTCTATCCACAAGGTTAGCTGCTTGTATTTGTGAGGCATCGATATTATCCTCCTCCTCAATTCGAAGTCCTGTGATTCTATGTTCTAAAAGGCATTCCCAAATAGCAGACAGTGCACGGGGTGTGAAGGCTGAGGGCTTCACCAACAGCAAAGCTGTGTTTCGCGGAGCCGTATCGACCGCCTGGGTAAGCTCTCGTGTGATGAAAATAGGGCCATTGCCATGCTGATCAAAGAGTTGTAAACTGTCATGAGCCTCGCCAGATGAGGTGCGTATTGAGTTTGCCTCTTTAATCCCGACCGTGTTATAAAAGACCGCACGATCCGCGGTATTACCCTGGCCCTCCTCTTCCTCCTCATCGCGAAGTCTTGTGTGGAGCTCCTGAATCCGCTCCACAAAAATTTCAATGCTCCCAGGATTGGCAAACAATTCAAAGATTGAGGTCAAGTGTCCACTAGGCAGAAGAAGAACTGGGTTATCCAACAACTTCTCCAGGAACGTTCTCGAGAGACCGCGTTGTAGCAAATCACAGCCTAAATCACTTCCAACGAGATCTTCATCAAGCCATGCACGACGCCATGCCAACACTTCGAGAGGGCCACTAGCGACCCTAACAACATTATCCCAGCATAGACCTCCAGACTTCAGGTTGTTTTGATACGGTAACGTAGACCATTTTAAGCACTCCAACACTGGAACTGGTATCCCATTACTACCAATAACTTTCGTTCGAAATTCGGCATAGCTGTATAGAGACTGCGGCCATGAAACCGCCAGAATACCGCACATGCAATCAGGGCTATTGAATGAGTTTAAAAAGGAAGGGAAGAAACCATTGATTACGTAGATAGGCTTTGAATGTGTCCCTTGTAGAGGGCTCTCTCTCAATATGGCAACATGACAGCCACGGAAAAGCTTCTTTGTAGCCAAATCACTTTGAAGTGGAAGACAGTCGCGAAGCTCATCTTCGGAACAACCCAAACTGATCAGCGCATCCCGTGCGGTCAGCAGACGGCCTTCATCCACGACTTGCGCCCACAGCTCGTGGAAATGACAAAAAAACATGGAGTGCACCTCAGCAATACTACAGATAGCCTCTTTCAAGACATTGCTTGAAGAGGACATGGCATAATGTTCTACAATCGTATAGTGGCGTTGGACGTGGGCTCCATAGTGTTTTGCGTCCTCTCCTGTTAAAGAGAGGACTTGATCAACACACACATCCGCCTGCCTCAGAGTTTCGATTGTAAGATCTACTAAATCCGTCGTATAGACATCTGGTGGGATAACGATAAATGAATGCAGCATGTTCGCTTGTGGAGTGTTGTGGTTCCTTTATGTTTTTTGTTGCAATGTTCAGTATCCATGTATTCGACCCTCTCTTATACATCAGAACTTCGATGAGTTTGAATTGTGATTGAATTAAATTGAAAAAAAGGGAAGCAAGGTAATAATGAATAATAATGATAAATAGAAAAACAAACGAAAAGGGAAATAACAAACAAAGGGAATGAAGCAAAGGAGTTTGGATTTATATGGGTGACTTTTGAGGATTTGCCATATACCGTGTCAGAGTACTCTCTCTTTTCTTCAGCTTTCGTTAAAATTACAAAGGCTTCAAATTTTGACACCAATGAAATTGTTGACGTGTTCATATATGAAGTACGGATTGAGTACAATGGATTGCATCTAAAATAAAAATAAAGATAACCATATTGAATAGGCTAACTTTCTATCTAATAAAAACAAAGTATCAGAGACTCTAATCAAGCACCAGCAGGCTTTATTAGCGGTTCACTCATCTTACCTTGAAAACACGAACACAATCATAAATGTATAGTTACAAATATATATTGTTCACAGGCTGTAAAATCGACATGTAAAGAAAAAAACTTTATTCGTTTAATGCTGACATTTCACTGTTAGATAGCTTCCTCTTTTTTTTTTCTACGCATCTCCACCGTAAAACGATACCGCCGCTTTGTGTGCTTGCTGAAGCGCAACTAGATCTGTAGGGAGTGTGCTCATTATATTCTTTATCTGAACAAGGAAATTGGCAACCTGAGTAGGCTCCCCAGTCATAATAATAAGACGCTGCAAGAGAGCATACTGCTCGGAATTGAGTTCCTTGGACAGTTCGTGATCGAAAAAGCAGTTCAAAACTGATGCTAAATCCTTGCCATACGTCAGCAAAGGTCTTTCGCTGCCGTCCTCGGTATCATAAGGAATGGTTCGACCGGCGTTGCGGTCCATAAACATGCTAAAATCTAGAGATCGCTCCCAATGAATAGGTACCACTACCGGAAGTGTGGTTAGGTTGTTAGCACCCAACACATCCTCCCTGGGTGCCCCAGTTGTCCCTACTGGGTGGACCAACAGTAGCTCTCCGAGGGAGGTCATGTTGCCGTGAATAATACGGCGTGCCACCATAAAAGATAGTAACCTCAGCACGGTCTTCAGCAAGGTTACGTAGGAGGCTGTGGAAAGAGGTAAGCTGCTCATCGAGACCGCGCGGTTGCCTTGGGAAATTGTCACTAACGTAAGCCCACCATCTGCGAAGTCAAACCCATCGATGGTAACCCCTGGCGCAGCAAGTGCAAGTCCCAACGCTGCGCGTCGACTTTCTTTGCCCTTAAAAGGAAGATAGTTGGTACGCCAACGGTAAAGAAGGGTTTGTGGGCCGTCGGAATGAATAGGAACACACACCATATCGGAAGCATTGAACCTCTGGGGATACTTTTCCTGTGCGTATTCCTTTTCTATCACCGGTTTGGGTTCCCCTCTTTCCTGCTCAAGGTCCCCCTCGCGACGGGGTCGATCCATGTCAGCCTCCGAAGGGATAACGCTGGCAGGAAGCGTTTTCCCAGAAGCGGCAGCTTGTTCGTCAAGAAACGACGGTGGCGGTGGGGAGTGCAGACCCGACACACCGGTTTCACATTTTGGCCGTGGAGGGTACACCTCCACAATCTCATAGACCTCTGCCACAACAAACAAAGAGAGCAATCGAAACCAGCGATGACCCAATTGAATCACTAGCCCACATCGCAACTCCGGAGTCAGGGTGTCTGGAAAGCTTTGGAGAGAGTGATACGAAGCGGTACAGCTTTGGTAATTGTCCTCAATAGTGGTGTGCACTTTGCGGGCGGCGATCACCGAAGCCTGTAGCCCGTAGGTTGTGCTTGAAATCAAGTGCGTGTGTGCAAGGGTCGTGGTGTATCGCCCAGCCTGTGTGCCACCACAGGTTGGGCGAAATAGCTGCGTCGTAATGCGCGGAACTACCGAATCACGGACTGTTGTCAAACGAATCGGATCATAACCTGGGGCGATGACCGTCGCGATGTCCCCTGCAGGGTGGTCCTCGTGAAGCCGCTGTACCGCAGGGTGGAGTATGGTAGTGATGCGCGGTGGTGGAGTTGATGAGGCGGGGCGGCGCTGCAGAATAATTGCCGCCGCCGGTTGGGTGTCCTTCCGTTCCGAGGCCCCCTCAACGTAGGAAATTCGGCCTAACCGCGACGTACTGCGAGCACGCTTAGTACCCGCTGCAGGGCGAGCCTGCAGGGGCACCTCCTCACGTAGCCTAGCCATGTGTGGCCATCGAGCCGTCTCGGTCTCGGTAGATCTCAAAGCTGGTCTTAAATCAGCAAGACTATTTTCCTTGTCATGGGATTTGTGCTGGCTCAAGGATACGCCCTCCCTGCGGTAGGGATCAAACAGCATCACGTCGTCATCCTTTGTAGGCCCTGATGTAGTTACCGCCTCCATGACGAAATTAGGTGCAACTGCTGTGTATAGAGGCGGCACTGGGCTTCCGATCTTACGAATGCCACAATCATTGTTGATGTCCTTCACAGTTTCCAACAGAGCAGATGCCTTAATACTGTCGCGGTAAATAGAAAAATCCGACGGGCGTGCCGAGACGGAATGTGTGCGTAAGTACGATGAGTACTTGCTCATAGCAGAAACTGAAACATCTATCTCGTCTTCTCCCCTTCCCTTTGGTGCTGCTCCAGTGTCATCAGTTATCGAGAAGTCTTCTTTACCTGGAGCAGATAATAAACGAGATGGCAATGAATCAACGCACAACTCATTGCTGAGCCGCACACCGGAGCGACGGCACTGCTTCTCCTCGCCATTCTGCTGCAGGCGGTCACGTTCCTGATGGATATCCCAGTCGTGTATTTGATACATAACGCACAACTCCCTACCGAGACGATCATACATGGGGAATGTGGACGAGAAGGTTACCAGCGGATCGCGCGAGGTCAAGGCTGCACGCCGGAGCTCGTACTGTCTTGGTTTTCGTTTATCAAGACAATCACTTCCCACAGCACACTCTTGCTTACAGACCTCACCACGCAGCTCCTTCTCCTCTTCCTCTAACTCTTGTCCATACTCTGCTGGCGTCATTCTTCGAACGAAAGTTCGATCGTGGCCATGGACCGCCTCAAAAGGGGAATGCATGTTATATTTAACTAAAAATAAGCAAATAACAACAATTCCTTCCTATGGATTTCTCTTCTATGATTCTGTTGCCCACACGGCACTAGTACACCAAATTAAAAATGGACGATTAATTTGAAATTAGCAAGTTCTATTTGTCAAGTGCACATCAAAAAAAACTTTCAAATTAATAATTAGAGGGGGAAGGAGGAATCCAACGGCAAAGAATAGCAATACTACTAGAGTAAATATGGTGTTAAAAAGGATATGCAAAAGTTGTAAAATAAGAAGAAAGAATCGATGAGATCTTCCCTTATCATTCTAATCATCAAACACACTAGAGGCTTAAAAGATATATGGCAAAAAATAATGAATGAAAAATGTCCCCATAAAACCTATCACAAATTAAATAGAGCAATAAAATAATAAAAATACATATTTATAAAAAGCCTTCCTCAACAGCCTATAAAATCTTCACGTACCCTCGGTCAGCGTTGACTCTGATACTTTTCCTCAAAGTCTTTGCATAAAGATTCATACATCTTACCATCTCCAACCTCCTCCATAAGCGGTATCAGCCCGGGGACGGCGCACTACGGCACACAATCACAGCCCGAACCAAGTCCTTCACCTCAGAATAACTGCAATAATCTGAGATGGGTGATGTATCGTTACTAAGTATCTTATTATATGTATTTTCAGGGGCAGTGGCGACTACTGGCCTATTCTGTCCATTTTTCGCGTATAATGATCCTTCTTGGGGCTTTACTTTCATAGATGATGCTGGCGGTGTAGTGCCATCAACAAAATTTGAGGATTCCTGTCGATGGTCAATGTGATCATTTAAGGTATGAAAGGTCGAAAATGGAAGAAACAAGCACCTCGAAGAATTTCCATCCTTCAATGATTGCCCCAGCAGTAGTGTGCTGTTCAACGTCATGGAAGGGATCTCGACTTCCCTGGTGACCCGACGATTGCCTAGAGCTAGATTAGCCATGTGGGCATCCCATAAGCTCACCATATATGTTTGATCCTCTTTGGATTGCACTAACTCTGGAGATTGCCCATTTTCAAGGATAGGATCAGTGCTCATGGGACGGCCTACACCGGCCATTCTCTCGCGTACTGCTGTCATCCATGCCGGTTTATCCACAAAACTCTTGTTTAACGTTAGATGATGTGTTACAAATACAGGTAGAAGACAGATGACATCTGTTGGTGAAACAACAACATGCTCCAAGGTGGAGAGCAACCTTGCTGTAGAATTATTCACGTTGTTAAGATCACTGTCAATCGCATTGCTATCCATTGACATCAGAAAACTACTGGTTCTACTACATGCCCCCTGGATTCGCTGAGACATCCAGCGTCCTGGGGTCCGCCGCACGAGATCCTCCTCGTTGGGCATAAAAAGCATTGCGGCAACCTTGAGGATGGTGATGTACTTCGATATGCCGCGCATAATATAAGGTCCTGGAGCCAACTCCATCACTATACACCCTCGAACTACTTCCAATAAGTGCCGCAAGTATCGCGAGACCGCGCCGGTAAGAGTTACCGTCTTAACTAAAGAATACCCATTCGGCGAAAAGATTACCTCATTCATATAGTTCTTATTGACTATACTCGAATATTTTGTGTTGTTACTTTGAAGGATCACTGCGCCATCTTTTACCATTCCAGACAAAAATGTGGAAAGCGAGAAACATGCCCGGATACTTTCTGGGAGGACCGATGCATACATGTGATCACAAAAGGCCACAATGCGAAGCGAAGGAACCATCTTGGTGACTCGGTTGTGATACACATACCCAAAGGTCAGCACCATCGTGAGAACAGACAAAACGGCAGGACTGGCAGCCATGATTCCATGTAAACACACCACAACCACCTGTCGCTGCTGTTTGGGTGATTGAAGTCTTCGGTCGTCGGATAAAGTCCCCAACCCGGCCTCAGCACCGAGTTGGGAATCTCCAGGAAGATCCTGAGAGATGCTTATTTGAGAAAACTCGAGCCTTTGGGGACTTATAGGCCTAGTTCCCTTCCGTGTGACAGCGTTAGAAGAATTGCTGGCAACACCACTCACTGATGCCGTCTCAGCACGCAAGAAAAAGCTGCTGATGTCCTCCGGCGTGGTGCGAACGGTAATCCAGAAGTCTACATACTTCGGTCCTTTAGGCATCAACGTGACAATATCCGTACACTCCTTCTCTTGTAATAAGAGGAGGTGAGTATTCGGTACACAGCAGCATATGCACACCAGAACATAGAGTTGCCGAGACTCGCAAAGAATGGGTTTACTCGTGGAAGGCCACTGGTGAGTGAGGGGGTTTGGAAAGCATTGGCTCAGAGCTGGTCGCATAAAGAAGTTCAAAGAAGTTTCAAAATAAAAATACTCTTTTAGGTCTATTACTCGTTCTTTGCCGTTTTATTCGACTTAGCAAAAAGTGAGTGTCTGATCTTTGCTTTTAAAATCTAAGGCTAATCATGTAATCTAACCCAACTCCTTTCTTCGAGAAAGGACAATACATTAATGACACACTGACAGTGAACTTTTAATTTAAATAACCCTCTATCTTTCCTCTTTAAAGTTATAAGGAAACTAATAGTATCTACTATAAGATAAAGCAAGAAGTTAACATGTGTAACGTGGTAAAATCGATTTAGTATTTTTAGAGGTAATAATACCTTAGATATAAATGATTATAAATATATATATATATATATATAGTATTTTTTTTGTCTGCAAAGTAGAACATATGTTCATGAGTATTGGAGTACGTCATTATTGACTTATTCGTCTCTTTATGTTGTTGCTGTTGTTTGCAATTGAACTTAGTTCAATATCTCTATCTTTATTATGGGATATAGGGGGTTCGAGTTTTCTTGAGGTGGGCAATTAAGCAGTATAAAATAGAACGCTTGTCAGCCCTTTTTAATGACACCAATTTTAACAAAACGTCATAAAAGGAATACACAAATAAAAGGTAGCGACGATACTAACTCAGGAATTGCCGGGAAAAATCTAAACTTAAACACAAAATACTTGTGAAATACTGGAAAATAAAAACACGCAATTAAAAATTTTCAGATCCCCAATTGATCATTTTTTCCTAAATAATGTCTCTGAAGTGTCAGATAATTCATCCGCAGGTATAATCTCATCCTCAATCGTTGCCTGCTTAGTCGGTTTCCCTTTCAGTCGGCCCTGGCGGCTGACTCCATCTGTGAGATTAGCACCGAAAAGAGGTGGAATCATATCTGAAGAACGATTACGCAAAGTATTACCATGAGCAATGCCAGTAGTGGGGACTGTCACGTCATGATGGCTCGGAATGCGCGCGGCCGGCTCGTCCCTGAAGTCCCCCTCCATCACTTCATTCGCAGAAGCAGTATTGTAGTGATGTGAAGAGAGATTGTGCGAGTGGGTACTGTGTCCAAGTGGCAATGGCAAATTGGACAGATGTTCGTCTCTCATATAGGGATGTGCTAACTCAGAAGGTCCACCAACGCTGTCATTGGTGTCCACTGCAACTATCCCTGTGTCGTGATGTCTATTTTTGGCTCTTTCGTAGGGATTCAAATGCATCCTGTAATCTTCAGACGGAAAAAGCGAATCCGAACTGTGCACATGCCTAACGTGACTACGGTTACGGCTATTGTATCCCTCAAACCCTTTAGGTAACAGCTCATTAGAATGATCAGCGTTGCCATCATCAGGTGAGTATTCGAAAGCATCAAAGTAATTGGCCTGTTCAACGTTGTCCGAAGACATTTGTGGAACCCAGTTGGCGTTTTGTCTCCATAAAAGTCCAGTGTTCTCTATTTGTGACTCGTTGTCCCCGAAGTGCTCCTGTAGATTTTCAAACTGCTTCTCTTTCAAGCCGCGAGCTACTTGATCCCGCATCGCCTGCACTAATGCCTCGAAGTCACTGTCGGACATCAGCTGATAGGTACGCACAATGCGAACCTTAAGCCCTTCCCGCATCACCGTTCGGGCGTCATTCAAAATAGCGTTACGCTGTGCAGTGTGCAGGCGGAGCACCGACTTTTGGGTGGTGCAAAAAGGAGTATGTGACTCCCATGGCGCGTCCGCTTGGGAATGCAGCAAAGTGGCTTTATCTAAAGAAGAACGAAACAGGATATACACTGCAGTAAAAGAAACTAACAAATTAACACAACAAGCTGCGAAAGGCCAGTAAATCACCGTAGTCATAATGTTGTATTCATCGTATTCAGCAATCAAAAGCCGTGTTGGGTCTTTTTTGCGAACCTCATTCGCACAGTAGGAAATGGCATTCCGGTAGAAGGTTCTCTCACGGTCACACAAATATACAAATATAATAATTGAAAAGGAATAAATAAACGTAAAGACTACTAAAATGTGATAAAAAGGAACGTGGGCACCGAAAACGCGCAAATGTCGTCTATATGAAGTGTAATTAGACGACGAAACGACACAGTTTATTATCTGAAGAAGCTCTAAAAAGCAAATGAATGTCACGTGCTTTGCCATAATCACAAGACCAATAGTAACGCCGTCCAGTGACACCTCTGCTATCCCCTCAGCTAATCCAGCTTTAAGTACTCCACGATAAGTGCAGCCCTCCATGACCATAGATATGCTAGGATGAGCCTTTAAATCTGAATGACTGAGGTAGCCAGGTAGCGACTCTGCAAGGCGTGTGTAGAAATCGGTAACAATGATAACAAAGCTAATAATGTGAAAACACGTCGTGAGTTGATAAATGATCTTAAAGACATACTCAATTGTTTTTCTAGGGTATTCTGGGGTGGGGGATACAAAAAACATTTTTTCAGATTTAAAAATATTCTAGTTAGCAATGCGTAATGGTACTTTCGTGTATTGTTTTTCTTAACTTCTCCAATAAAAGAAAAGTTATAAATGAACTAACAAGTACAACGAAATAAAAAGGGTTAATGTTCTTTGTAGTTGGTTCTAAAACATAAAAAGGTCTAAAAAGAAGCACACTAAGAGGTATAAAAAAAAAGGAGAAAAATAATAACGAGACTTAAAGAAAACTTCAATCAGAATTGAGTTATAAATATGAAGCAAATTAACCCACTCTTGTTTGTCATCTGTAATTTTACAGCATAAAAATGCCTTTTACCCTATGCCTTTGGGACTTAGCACTTATTGTATCTAACGCATCAGTTATTAATCTGAATGTGGTCCTTACTGTACAAACATAGCCGCACACATATTCTTTCTTCTCAAGATAAAATACTATTTTGCTTTGTTCATATAACACGCCCCACAAAACCATGGTTCTCACCTCTTAGTGACGCTGTTTCCGCTGTCTAGAAATGCGCCACGAGCTGCCTGTCTCCCAAGACTTTAGCAGAGGAGTAAAGCGCTCGGCCTCCTGCTCCCGCGTAAGGCGCCGGCCTTTGGGAGGGCAAGTGTAGAAAGCTGGGGCTAACTCCACCAACCACTTCGACTCAATAGTAAGCAATTCCTGCATATACTCTTTGTTAGTCAATCGGAGATCATCGTAAAGAACGTATTTCGGTGGGTCATCAATAAGCACTGAAGACGGGTGAACGTACACTTCACGGCGCTCCGCTAAGGTAACAAAAGATCGCGTATGAGAGTCCACTCGTTTCGCGGCGTGGAAGAAATACCCGGCTGTAATGGCACGGCGAACCTCAGTGAGATTGTTGTCATTTGCGTGGGAAATATTGGTGTAACGACTTGTGAGCATATCCTTAAGCTGATCACGCGTGTCACGGGCCTCAACCAACATGCGATACTTGACAAAGTTTCGCCGGCACCACTCTTCCGACATACCACTCTCAACCCACATGTTGTACACCACCATGAGGGTAATTTGATCGCCTTCGGGCTGCCAAAACTGCCTCTTTGCGGCGTCCGCAGCTTCCTGACGATCACGTGGACGGTAGAAAATGCCACGTTTCTGTGCAGAAAGCATTGACACAATGGTCAAGACTGGTTCGCTACAGCCAAAGTCAACCGCCGTTAGGAGAGTTTTGCTCTGGAAAGGATCTACCGAGAGTTGTGCCATGCGGCCACCCAAAGGCGTTAGTGAGGCATCGTCATCCAGCGCCTCGAGGTAGCGCAGCTTTTCCAACGCCGCCACAATCGCCTCCTGCGACGGAGGATCCATCAGATTGACATTGAAGAGATCGATTCCCATCGCCTTTAACTGCAGTGTCACGTGAAATAAGTTAGCACGCATGATGTCCGGTACTGTCTCGGGTGCCATATCCTCACGGAACTGCAACTCGGTGTAGATGCGAAAGCACTTTCCAGGCCCGATACGCCCCGCACGACCGCTGCGCTGCTCCGCCTGTGCCTGAGAAATGGGAACCACTTTGAGCTGCTCCACTTCACGATTCGGGTTGTAAAGGTTTTGTTTACAGTAGCCGCTGTCGATGACGTAATAAAGATTATTGATCGTGATCGACGTCTCAGCAACATTGGTGGCGAGCACAACCTTACGACACCCGGGTGGTGTGGCTTCGAAAACGCGCGACTGCACGTCCTGCGGCATCGTGGCAGTCAGCGGTAGCACCAGCATGTCAGGGATGGGAGTGTCTGAGGCCTTGCGCAGCCCCTCCATCCAGTGGAACAACATCTTACCGCCTGTCTCAATCTCCTCCTGCCCAGTGAAAAAGACCAGCACGTCACCCGGAGGCTCCTGCAAATGAATCTTCATAACCGTCTGAAGCGCAGTGCGCACGTAATCCGTGGTGAGTTCAGCCAGGTAGTACGTATCCACTGGAAACGTGCGTCCCTCAATCATAAAGATTTGATCGATCCCGAAGTAGTCACAGAATTTTTTTGTCTCCAACGTCGCTGAAGTAATCATAACCTTGAGATCTTTATGTTTTTTCAGAGCGTTGCGAACAATCGCGAAGAGAAGATCTGTGTTAATAGATCTTTCATGAGCTTCATCGAGAATAATCACGCTATAGCGCGCAAAGCTATCATCCAGAAGTGCTTCCCGTAGTAACATACCATCCGTCATGTACTTGATCCGCGTGAGCAACGAGGTCACGTCGCGGAAGCGCACAGTGTAGCCGACCTCCTCACCAAGGCGGCAGCCGTACTCCTCTGCGACGCGCGTGGCCAAGGTCTCCGCCGCCACACGCCGCGGCTGTGTACAGCAAATAATGCCCTTCTTGGCGTAGCCGTGCTCCTCAAGGTACTGCGGGATCTGCGTTGTCTTCCCACTACCGGTCTCGCCAACTAAGATGGTGACGCTATGCGTGTCAACGTATTGAATAATTTCAGCTCGTTTACGGTAGATGGGGAGTGAGCGGCGCTGCCGCTGTAAGTCCTGGGTGCTGGGTGGAATCCCAAAGTGCGGTTTACTCCCGAAGCTGTGTCGCATCCACGGTGGTAATTTTGCGGAGAGATCCTTAGGCCGGAAGCCACCTTCCTCAGGCATTTCATCCAATTCGGTGCGGAGGAGGTCCCGTGAAGAAAAAGGCACAACAGTCGCCTTGTCATCGGCAGCAGCGGTGATGTCTTCCGTGTTGGCCTCGGTGGTCGGCAAAGCGGCCTCATCAGACGGCTGCTGTTCCTCATGACGCTTCTCTTTTCTCGCTATCATGCGGCGGTCCATCGTAATCCGCAACTGCATCTCTGCCACGCGCTTCATGCTGTTGAGGCGACTGGGATCGCCCTGGGTGCTCTGGGCCATGCGGTCAAGAACGTTCTGTCGCTGCCAAGGTGTACGGGCCTCACGCAATTGTTGAGAAGGTAATAATATCCGATAATTCACCTTCCGTCGGAAAGAGGCCAATCCAAGGTTACGCAAAAAGCGGGGATCCACTTCATTCAGCTCGACCGCATCATCGTCATCGTCCTCAGCACGAAGATTCAGGAGGTCAGCTTCATCCGCTAAACCGCTGCGCACGTGTTGAGCCATGCGAAAGAGCTCCTCGGGTGAGACTTTCATGGCCGCCTTGCGCTCCATGGGAGAGACGTCCATAGTCTCCGCATCTTCCCTAGAGGGTTGCTGCTTTTCTGCCTCCTCGACAGCCTTTCGAGACTCCGCGGCAAGCTGCATCGCCCCCACCACTAACGCCGCCTCGACAGTAGATGGGGTCAACGATGCGGCTAGTGTCTCGTACAGTTTCTCGACTTTGGCAAGAGGGATTTCGTCTTCGGTGTCCTCGGGAACCTCGTCTTCCGTTTCATGGCCATTGATGGCGCATGCAAGCGCGTGTATGATAGCCTCTGCTGATTCGAGCGCCTTCTCAACGGCATGGTTGTCGCTGTTGGACGGAGATAACTCGTCGACTTTCGATACATACAGCTTTAGTAGTGAGTCGACATCTTCGTAAAATGCCTCCCTTTCTTCTGAGTTCGTTGGTGCCCCAAGCATGTGTTCCAGCTGATTGTGCAATTCGTTTTTGCAATAAATCTCCTGAAGCTGGTGGAGGAAGCCAAGTGACTCCTGCTCTACCTTCGTGATTTCCTCCGCCGGGTCCATTATTCCTATTAGGAGCGGTATTATAGGTATGGAAATTCAGAAAAAAATACAAAACTATCACTGTGATAAAAAGTGCTTTTTGTGAATTATTTTAACCTTTTTATGCCCATTGCACTGGCTATGTATCACCATTTTTTTTAAAAAAATGAAGGTTTAAATAAGCAAAAGTAAAAAAAAGCGAAACCTCCAATTCTAACGTAATCCCCACTCTTTTTATCTATTAGATTGTAGTGTTAATTAGCAACAACAGATGCATGTAGAATTATCTATAAGATCTATTAGTTGTGTGTGTGTGTGTGTGTAAGCAATGCAATGAGATGTCACAAAATTCAAGATAAGTAAATACACATATAAAAATACATAAGTAAATACTCTTACGATAAGTATTTAGTCTAATTTAGTAACAAACTTCAATATGTACTTCATAGATAGATATAATCTCCTTTCATTCATACAAAACGATAAACAAAATATAAAGTAATAACCCAAAAAGTGTTTCAAGGCCAACGGAATAAAGGCAATGATGTCCTTGTGACGCACACCCCAACATTTAACCAATTTTGTATTGGAATAATAATAATAGAAATAAAAAACTCGAGTATAGCTTTGATACTATTTTTTTCACACAGATCGATGTTCATTACGATCGCCTATGCATGACTAAACTTGTACATCTTTCAAAAGTATGTGTAAAAGATGAGAAAGGCTCCCACAAACTCTTTGAATGCGCTTTATAAACATCACACATAAAATAGAGTAAAATTGAAACAAAGTATTTTTATTTTTTGAAAAAAATACAATAGGAAATTGCGTGAATAGAGCCTCATGTGATTTATGAACGCGCAAGAAATAGAACAAATGGTCTATGTGCAAAAATAAACATATGAATATATATGGAGCTGTCTTATAAACTCAAAACGGACCATTGTTCAAACTGGAAGCTATCACATAAAGTTAAAACACTATGAGTAATATTGCCCTTGCATTAGCATATAAAGAGATAAGTTTGTTAAATGTATAAAATTCATTGGGGGTAAGTTACTTAATATTTCCTCCCGCTACCGAATGTTTTAAACGCTAATTGGTTACTTGTCGATGTCCTGAGAATGATTGGTTGAGGCTTCCTGCTCGGCCTCTTCCTCTAGCGTTCGAGGTGCTTTCATGAGAGAAGGTCGTCTCTTCAATCGCACTGCACTGGGGTATCGCGATAGCCTCACAAAGCCATACGGGCTGCGCCCCTCACTATTCAACTCTCCTATTTCAATTAACTGGTTAACCGTGACGACAAAAGACAGACCGAATACTGCGTACTCAGCGTTCCATAGTTCTACCAATCGCTTGTCAGGGTTGTAGGACCGTACCAAGGCAGTACTGCTGCCCATGTTTGCGATACCATGTGCCTTTAAAATGTTGTAGTTAAGGAGTAAAACGGCCTTCTTAGTGTGTGTGGCCTCCCTCAGCAGCTTGTCTAATTCGTCATCGATGTCTAAATCGTCAATGGCATCTACAACAATGTCAGCGTCTCCAGTGGAATCACTTTCTCCTTTATTTACCGCTACCGCACTAAACTTTCGTGACTTCAGGAAAAGACGAGACACCTGCACCATTAAATGCACGTCAACCTCCTTGTTGATCACAGACAGGGATATCTCGACATCGCGCCAGGCGAACGCCTGGCTACCACGTCGGCGCTGGTCGTTCATGGTTTTAAGGTAAGCCTCATAAAAGATCTCTTCTGGACTGTAAAAGCAACCGATCTGAGAGAAAGCAAATGATAAGCCTTGGAAATGAGAACTGGGGCTTACGTGAAAAGCGTTTTGTACGGGCAGTAGCTCGAGCTTGAAGTCTGCGCACTGCTCCGGTTTGAAGTTGCACTGTTGATCTTGACGACGAGATACAAGAAGACAGCCGCGGGCACGGTGTTTGCATGTTTGAGGTGTGTCTTTAATCGCGTTGTAAAGGGTCGAAAGGTGAACTGACCAAGTACGCTCGTAGACGTTTGGATTGCAATCCGATACCACAACAGTTCCTGTCGCCGCAATCATATCAACCACAATCCCAAGGTTTCCAAAGGGATTCGAAGTACCATTCACATGAATGCAAGAGCCATCAAAGTCTACAATAAGAACCTGATTATTTCCATCCTCGAGCGAGGTCTCAATCAAGCTCTTAAATTCTTGAAGACTAAACTGTGCTTGTCCATCTGCGTCCAAGTCACCATGTCGTACGGTGACTTGGACATCACCATCCAAACCACTAAATCGAAGATACTGTGTCAAACAAACGTGTACAGTCTCCAACATAAAGAGACGAATAAGCAACGAAGATATGTCAAAGGGAAGAGTATGGATAACATCTTCAAAGGTAGTAAACCATCCAAGGCGGCAGCAAGCCATAGCAATGATCGTTGGCATCAACGGAAGGCTCGGAAAGTTAAAGCTATCTACAATAGGCGTCAAGTTCTGGAAATCCGGCTTGTGTTGCTGCGACAATAATTGTAGACAGAACTGCACCGTCGGCGCGACCTCTCGCGGCGCGCCGACGGTGCGATTACTCACCCGAGCAGACTCTTTATAGAAGATCATGTAGCCGTTTCCCGTCATGGCCATGTGTAGACGGTCCAGTAGGCAGGTCCAGGTGCGAGAGAAAGTCGTGGGATAAGCATCAATAAGTAGAACCGTTTGTGTCTCCTGGTCATAGCCAGCCAGCAAACACCATTGCATTCCTTCCGCAATGTTGAGTACATTGTGTGCAACACCGGCGTTGTACATGATAAGCATCACATACGCCGGGGCCTCGAGATCTTGGTTGGCATCCTTGACGTCAATGATAATAGACTCCAAATCGAAGATCGAAATCGTTGGTACAGCGTCTTCACGCGATATTTTGGTAAGCACTGGAAACAAGTTCGCCCCATATGGCCGATTTGTACGTTTAATGTATTCTACTGCGTACTCGTACACCTGCTCCAGACGTAGGAAGCCATTCAAGAACACCATTGACGGGAACTTCATGACCCGAATAATATCCGATACGGGAAGACCGTTGCCGTGGCCATGGGTCCCAGGACGCACGCCGCCCAGCAGGTGCATAGCCCAGGCTACTGCGGCAATATGAGGGCTGATCTGATGCGAGACGATAAGCGCGTGTGTGCCGAGCTGCGTTGTGCCGAGTACCTTACCACTGCATAGCTCCGGCGTCCATAGAAGCCGGATTTCATCGCTGGTGAACTCCGGAACGCAGTCCTTCTTAAATAGTCGAATGAAACCACGCGCACGGCGGCCCTCCTTAGAAGCCATCATCGCCTTGAAAAGCGACGATGCCGGAACCTCCGTCAGCTTCACATGCAGGGAGTTATTTACAACCCCTTCTGCAATGGTTACCATCAATTGAACCGCGTTGCGCACATCCACTATGACGGCGTAGGCTCCTAAATCCTTTTGTGTGTAGATACGCTGGTGCTGCTGCTGCCGTGAGTTCCCCAGCACGGAAGTGGCGAGTGGCGAGTTGATTTCATCCTCATCATCGTAAGCATCCACCAGCATTTCTTGTTCGAGAACGTACGGGTCGTAGTTAACAATTCGAATGGCATCCGTCTCCTCCTCGCAGTCCTGTGTAATAAGTCGTCTAAATTCAGGCAGCTGCATGCGGGTTTGGCGATCACAAACATTATTTGACCCCAGCTCGACCTGTCCCACCGTGGGAAGCACATCAAGATGCAACGTCTCTAAGCTGTAGACCCCTTTGAAGCGGTTGTCAACATCGAAAAACTCGCGCACGATGTCCGTCATGACCGGGAGATGGGGTGGACCACTGTAAAGAAGATGTAGTGGCACTTGCGCGGCGAAGAAGATATCCTCGACGGTGACGCGCTGCCGGCGGTCACTGCAGTCTTTACTGCCCCCGAGAAGGTAGCTCAGCCCAACGGCCAGGGCCCCAAAGTGGCTGCACGGCATCACATCCTTCAGACTCTCCGCGTCGTCGATTTCGTAGCTCTTGAATAACTTCACGCGCGCTCGCTTTACCTCAAGTGAGTACTGTCGATTGTGCTTTGACGGATTCCCAGTCGTACCCGTGGCTCCCCCTGCATTCGCCGCACCGAACCCGTGGGCTTTAGCTTCCATAGCAGACGGTGTAAGTCGCGAACGATTGGGACCATTCGAACCCACAGTACCATCTATGGGTAAAGTGCCACTAACTCCATTCATATTAACAGCAACATCCAGAGGAAAAGAAACCAGCGATGAGTGTCGACGGACATCCTGCTCTGAAGCGTCTTCCTCGCGCTCGGACACACGAGTTGCGTCGCCGTGAATACGGTCCTGATCGATCGTTCGTCTGTTATTGGCTGAAAATGCCACCATTTCATTCAAAAGGTCATCCCATCGTTGGAGATGCTCCTGGAGTTGCACTGATTTCCCAGATCCCATGTTTAGATACAGTTATTATAGTTTTTCTTATCGTTTAGGTTTGATTTAATGAAGTCACCTATAAGCATATAAAAAGAAGTTGTTGATGCGATTTTTTGCTTGTCCGCTTAAAATTGAAAGTTGTACAGTAATTACCTATTTTATACAGTGGTGAATGATTAACCTTTGTTCCCTTTAGTTTGATCAATAAATCAAATGTAGTGTCAGGAAAAAGAGAAAATAATTTTACCCGTTTCACGTAAATCGACCGATAAGAATTTAAAGCACTTTTCTAATAACCTTTTAACATATGTGGTGTTCATATCACTTGTTGATCCAGCTACAATCGACAAATCTCCAAAGGACCTCGAACCCATGCTAATACCACTCACCTTTCCATACCTACTACCCCTACCACCTGTTGGTTGTACAAACCAATAATCTGAATGAACTCAAGCCCAAACCTCGTAATGTTGTTACATGAAAAAAAGTAAGTTAGAATAAAAATATTAAATGGGAATTCACTGCTTCATATTCTTTTCACCAAGTTTCATCACCCCTTCTTGTCCATCAGTCGATCACCCTCACCACTCAAGAATCATTCAAAAAATGAAAAGGATAAAGACTGATAATGTCCTGAAGGGAATATACTCGGAAAAAACACCGCCACCCCACCGCACCCTACAAACACAAACCGCCAACCCATCACCATCATGGAGACACTACCCTCCATCTTCATCAAAATTAACGAAAAATAAACTTTCGCTCATCAAGAAAGTATCGTACATTTTTGGAAAACCTCTTAACAGCCTAATCAAATAAGTGGTAATAACTCTCAGACCAGTGCACATAGTGAGATTGGTATGATAAACCTAGCACACCGGAAATCTGGTCTTCTTTTGGCGCTAAACAGACACAAACATACAATAACTTTCTCAAAAAACTAGCCTTCCCAAACTAACAACAATGGAAAGGTAATAAAGAATAAATAGATGTAATCCTTGCTCCATAATAATAATGAAAAAATATTTAGAGACATTCAATAAATAGTGTTCTGTAATCTATCCATTATAGTCTTAAAACTTGACATGTAAGTGTTTATATATATATATATATTTCCACATAATTATGCAAACTATAATATATAATATACAAGTTGATTCAAATGATCATTCTAATTTAAAATATATCCATAAAATAGGGGAAAAAAATAAACGATGTAAATAGACTAAATTAAAATAAAAAATATTAATCGAACACATCAAATAATTAATTTCAAAACGCAGCTACCGCTGCAGTATATAACATTGTTTTTCGTCTTTTTCAAACCATCTGGTTGTCTTGCTTAGTAAAGTGCGTTGAACGGACACGCTGGGCTGATGATTGCGCTAAGTTTACGTATACCCATGCTCGCATTAGACATGTCAAAGCCACCGATACCCACACATGGCACTATCTTCTTACCCTTAAGTTTTGAACGGCCATCAAAAGCCATGCCAACGTATTTTCCATTAACAAAAAGCTGAATCACACCGGTCTTAGTATCCACGACAAATGAGAAAAGGCCCCCGCCTCCTGCAATGAGCATACGCCACAGTTGCTTCTTCTTCTCACCGTTCACATAGACGTTGGATGTCTGCATGTCTACATAGGCTACAATGTTTGCGTCTGGATGGTCGTCTGTTTTGGTTTTATTTAAGGCAGCAGACTCACCGTTTTTAAAGATAAGCCTTCGGATCGGTTTCCTTCTACGATTGGACACGGGCAAAGCACCTAACTCACATTCCTCAAGGGAGCGATTATCCGGATAAGTGGATAGGGTACAAAACCCTATTCGACAATCAGACGTGTTAACCCGCAATTGAAACCAGTAGCGACCAGTATTGGGACTTAGGCACACGTCCCCAATCACAGGACGATAGGAAAATTTGCCCCCACCGCGATGCGTCGCGACAGGGCCAGATAAAGTGTAGGTCGAGCAAGCCCGAGCCCACTTGAAGCTGATGGGCCTCGTGTTTTCGGGAGTTGCTGGGATGTAGCTCGAGCTGGGATTGCATTCGTTAATTTGAGAACTACAATCCATCAAGGCGCTGAACATCCGTGTCGCAGAATGATTCCTACGCGCTTATGTGGATTCAGAATATTGGGTCGTCAAAGCTGTATCTGTGTAAGATTTTCAAGTACACACACAATAGCTATTTTGATAAGTATTTACATATAAATATGAGTCAATATTCTAGAATAAGACAATGAGATATGAATAGGGTTAAGGGGCTAATTTGTAATGAATTCATGTCGCAGTTTTGTTATTTTTTATTACTTAAAAAAGCGAATAAAATAACCAGAGACATCAGCAACACGTGCATATGTCGCTGTTTCTTGTATCCCTCGTTTTAGGAGGGGGAGGGGTGAGGTATTAAAAAACAAAAATTGAAAATAGGGACCTCTTTTGAAGAAAAGGGAAATGAATGGTTGTATTCCATTTTTTCCTCATTTCTGCGTCCAAGGATCATGTAATTCAAAGGGGATTGTATCT